ATCATCATCATAAGGTCATCAGTCCTAAGACTGGTTGGACACGTACCTCCACTCTTTCCTATCCTGAGCTAAACTTCGCATTTCCCTAAAACTACAACAACCCACATCCTTAACTATTTGCGAACAGTAATCTAATCTAGGTCTACCTCTACCCCTTCTAACTCCTGTTTCTGCTTCTAATGTGACTCTGATTAGACCTTCATGCTTGAAAAGATGTCCTACCAACCTATTTCGCCTATTTTTTATTAACATCCAAATAGTCCTATGTTCTCCTATTCTTTCTAATACCTTTTCATTTCTAACCTTCTCTATCCACGGTATCCTCATCATTCGTCTGTAACATCACATTTCGAACGCTTCTTACCTTTTCTTTTCCGCCGCGCCCACCGTCCATGTTTCGCACCCGTACAGTGCTACGCTCCAAACATACGCCTTTAACAATCTTTTTCTAATTTTCAAATTAATTGTTCGCGAGCATAGAACTGACTTCTTTGTATCTATCTCTATCCTCTGCTTTACATCCCTACTACTTCTTTCGACTTTTCTGACTCCCTAGATACCTAAATTAGCCACTTCTTCTAATTTTTCGTTTCCTACCTTTATATTCGCTCTTTCCCTACTTTTTCTTCCCTTGCATATCAGTATTTTTGTTTTACTTTTATTTATTTTGATACAGTACTGTTTTGTCAGTACCGCTTCCATTTTATTTAAAGCTATCTTTAACTCCTCCTTGCTAGATGCTAATATTGTTATATCATCTGCAAATCCAAGCATACTAATCTTTTGCCCCTGTGTGTCTATCCCTGCAGTTGTACTGATGTCTTTAATGATGCTAATCGCGTCTTCGATGTATAGATTAAAAAGTAACGGTGACAGTGTGCATCCCTGTCTGACTCCCTAATATTTACTTCTGTCTGAAAGTAGGTAGCATCCTCTTTAAAACTAGAGTTATTTGTTATCGTTGTGGCTGACTTAAAAAAGGGTTGAAAATGAAAAGACGTTTAAACAAATATATAAGTAAAATGTCACCTTTTACATTAATATAAAATTAATATAAATATTCCAATAAGAGCCTGTATTTTTAGGCATGTTAGGTATATTCTCATCTCTATACTTAATGTTTTTATTACTATTACGATTTATAAATTAATTGCTTCAAACATTAGTAAAGATATAAAAGGAAAGTACTGAATTATAACAAAACTACAAAATTGTATGATTCTAGTAACGATGTAGGTACTATAAATGCTGGTATCAACTACTTAAACTATCATCTATCATCTTTGCGTAAAAAATTTAAATAAATTCTGTGAAACTGAAGTCAAAGTGGCTTTTCTATTATTTGAACAAGATATTATTTATCATGTTTACTACTGAGTGCGAATCGATTATCGTTTTCACAATTTATATATTGATTTTGCCATAATTATTTTGTCACTCAGTCGTTCTTTCACATCAAAAAATTTAACAGGTTAGATAAATTTCATTCACCTGTGCTATCAAGTTTTAAATTTCAGGCTTGCTCAGTTTGCAGAGTTTTGGAATGAAGAACTTTTTTTACGAAATGTAGCTGTAGTTATTGCATTGAACGAATATAACGAAGAACTGACCATGCTCAACTACAATTGCAAAACTGAAAACTGACCTTGCTTGCAAATGCAGTTCATTAGCTGAGAAGTCTGGGTAAATAAATTAAATCATTGTAAATTGTATCCGGAACAGCCTAACTAATACTTATACATACAGGCTGTTTCACTTAAGGCGGTTTTGTCCATAACTCTGTTGTTATACAATTAATAAACAAATATTTTCTGTATACGCACTATATAATTCCAGATCACTTTTATAAAAACATCTTTTTTAATCAAATGTATAATAACAGAGTGATGGACGAAACCTCCTTGGGTGGAACACTCTGTATATTATGTGATATAAAAATACTACCAGGAATTAACAGAGCGGTGTACTATTTGATATCAAAAAAAGTTATAAACAAAACTGTGGCCTTAAAAACCAAAAAATGAGCGATAAATAGAACGTGCAAATGATTTGTTATTTACGCTACGTAATACACGGAATATAATAATAATGATTAGTCATTTGAAATTGTGCCAGATCAGCTGCTGCTTTTATATTCAAAATTTTCTCCTCGCACACGTTTTAATTTGCGTCTTTTTAATGGATGCTCACTTGTATGTAGTTGTTTTACATACCAAGTCGTTATTTATTTATATATTTAAATTGTTTGTATTTTCATGTATAAATTCATATTAAATGTACAGTAAATTTTCCTCACTCAAACCTGCCCAATGCAACCGGTTATGTTCAAGTTGGAAAAAATTCGAGTTTAAAAAATATTTTTGCTTTACCGCCACACTTTTTAATTTTTTTTTCGAAGACATCGCTTCTACGCATGTACATCTGTTACTGCTGTTGAGCCGACTGTTACCACTATATCGCACGGTACCTATACTAGTAATACTTCGTTGGTCTCATGAACCTCACCTACTCGCTTTTTGCTGTTTTCTATAATGGAACGCCGTAGTGAAAATTTATGATAGTAATCATCATCATAAGGTCATCAGTCCTAAGACTGGTTGGACACGTACCTCCACTCTTTCCTATCCTGAGCTAAACTTCGCATTTCCCTAAAACTACAACAACCCACATCCTTAACTATTTGCGAACAGTAATCTAATCTNGATTTAGAAAGTGATCTCAGAAATTAAAAAAGAAAGATAACATGACAATATTTATGCTACTCAATAAAATAAGGAAAATTTCTGTTTTACCCACCAAACATTATTTTAATTAGGAGCTTGACTTAAAGAGTTTGGAATAAACATAAAGCTGTAAAAACTAAAACTAAACTATAAACTTAATATACTTTATTTCATTTATTATTAGCTTTGCTTATCAAACCCCCGAGGTCGTAATTCACGTAAAATATTTTTAGTTCTTTACGAATTCGTGGGGATATCGTTGTTTTTAGATAAACAATAGAACGCTTTTAATTATTTTTTCGTATTAAATGCTGACAAAAAGTATTACCTATACTTTTGTTGTTGATATTGCAAGATGTATTCAACGTATTTAACGTTGACCTCAACATTTTTTTTTATAATCACAGTTTGTTATGATCGATATTTTGATGAAGCGGTAGATTATTTTCCAGATATCACGTTGTTTTGTATTTTACGCTGCAAAATCATGTTTAATAATGCAGCAAATTTATTTAAAAACTCTCTATTGAACGGATACATTTACATTTAGATGTACGTGAAATAAATACATTTTTATATTTAGATTTGTTTTAATACATCTACTTACTGCTTGACCTTAAATGTGCGTGATCTATCTAAAACATTTCGTAAGAAATAAAAATTAAAAGCGGATTACGTGATTACGTTCGCACTATGTTGAGGGAAAAAGATGCTTTTACCGTTCTCTTAAAACAATTTTATTTGTCTACTGACTGTTTATTTATTATCTATATATTTCGTTGAGATCATGCTTCTTTTCTCATTTTTTTGCTGTTATTAGTCTAGATCAGATAAATGTATTAAGGGGTTATTTAATGATCTGAGAGATAAAAAATTCATGCGTATATAAATGGTGCTGTACAAACGGTATGTTCTACTTTACACGTATATATAACATTATTTTCTTCTAAATTACAATACATTAACTGCTGTGCTTTTCAAATTTGAATAGGAAGAAGAAAGCTTTTTTGTATTTGAAAATTGAAATACTAATATATTCGAAAACAATTAATATGTATATGGACCTTGTACCTATCATATCGAAATTTCGGAAATGTGGTACATATTGTACTAAATATGTCTATAGTATCTTATATTTACATATTTTCCATTATCTTTCCTATAGTTGAGATATAATGTACCTATAGAAATTGTATTAAATTGCATAATAATTTCTACGTAAATTTTATAATCGTTTAACTTATTTATTTAACAGGTAGGACAAGAGAACGCGTTTTGTTTATTCATGTTTCTGAAATTGAATATTAATTAAAACAATAGGGCAACTTATGTAATTATGATAAATCTCTAAAACCGTCGTCGGTTGCAGTTGTTTTTTAAAGTTTCGCTAGAACGAGTGGCAAACTATTTCACAACCCCTTCCATTTCCGATGATGGATGTGGATTGAGAAACTGAGATCCAGCATCGGAAATGGAAGGACTTTTGGAGAAGATCGCCAGTCATACTAGCGAAACGTTAGGAAACTCCAATCGATGACGGCCTTTAAAGTCAAATCAGGACAGCATCAATAACGTTATGATAACGTTAGCGAAAAAATTGCAAGAACTGGGATTTAAAAATATCAGTTGTTTCATTCAATTGGTGAAATAAGCAACGGACTTGCTAATTTTAGGAACTGAGCAAAATTCTATCTAAATTGTGTCTTATTACTACATGTAGGTGCTAAGTAATACAGTTTTACCGAAAACGCGAAACAGGCAGTAATTCAAATTGGAGTTACGTTTGTTATATAATAATTATTTATGAAAAAAATGTTCAAATAATTATTTGTAAAGATTCAGTAGGTACTGGTTAAGGTTACAAAAGATGCAATTGTACTAAAATATGTACATGAAAGTCCAGAGCATTCACTTCTTATACAAACTTATGAGTCCAGGTTTAACCGAAAAATGTTTTTATTTGACTGTTTAGTATCATAAGGTTACGAAATGAGTGTTTTGGTTATCTCCGTCCTTTTCGTTACAGAAAAATTGCATAATTCGTGTCATATTACACTTAAACATTTTTTACGTTTTTGTTAAAAAAGCAGTACGAGAACTAAAAAGTCATAACAAAAATGTATTGAAAATTGCAAAGAAGAAATAATTGATAAAAAAGTATACATAACGTGCGATACAAATTGCCAAAACATTATTGTTTATTATATAAGGCGTCGCATAAAGGTCAGTTTATAAAAGTGAACTAGCGTGCATTCACTTAATTACAGCAGTTTAATTATTCACAAACGTATGGTGACACTTACAGGATAGTGAATTTGAAAAGATTTTTTTTTAAGAAAGCCACGATGAATATTCGCGCCATTCGATGGTGTCAAATATTGGTGGTTACGATTTGTGTTCAATCGGTTATCGCAGCTCCAGCATGTCCCAAATGTCCCTTGACCATACCGGAAACTGTTAGTCTATCGAAACGACTTTTTCGAATTTTAGCCAGCTTCTTAAAATGTCAAGCACCGGATGTGGCCAACTACCTTTGGAACTATACTGGTAAATACAATCATTTACAATTATTCAATTAACTAATGTATAAGGTTGACCTTTCATTAATAGACAATTTGGAATTGTAATTGATACTCGGCAAATGTCTCTGATTAAAATCATTTTTGAAATTAACAGAAGTAATCTCAATAACAAATTACTTACTAAAGCTAAAATTAAGCAATATTTAAGATTACAAAAATTTCTATAACACGGCTCTTACATTAGCATTGAGTTCAGAATAATTAGAAACATTTTTCATAGAGCCGCTGACTGTGTATCAACAGCTTCTGAATTTAAAAACACTTTTGAACATCTTATCAGGTCAATGAAGACTAACGGTCCGAATGCATTAAAAATTTACCCACAAAAGAGCGCGATAATATAAGACCATTATGAATCTCTCTTTATGGAATTATAATTAGTTTCTGTGACTGGCAGAAACAATACACGTTTTAGCTACAAAGTATATTTATTGTTTCAAAAGTAATTATTTCGGCACATAGTCAGTTATCTGTTATATTTAATTTTCTTCTGGGCATATTTACGAAAGGTAATGCCGGGACAGATAAACTACCTTTTACAAAAAAGTGTACAATTTGTTTATTTATAAAAAGAAAACTGTGCAAAAGATACACAAGCTTCATTCTTACCCCCGCCGCAAATCTGAAGAAATTTGTTAAAACACGTACGATAATCATGAAAATATGAAAGATAGTATTCTTTTGATTTAATCGTCCTTCCTCTTTGTTTCACTGTTCAACATCACTTTACTAACACTTACGAATTTGAATTTATGAATAAGTTAATTTTGGCCACTTAATCATCTAGTTACCTTTCCAATTCATTAGTTCAAAGCCTTGAAAATGGGTGTTTCAGTTAAAAAAAAACCCGTCCTCATGCAATATCTTCTTTTGGCATCATTTAGAATAATAGAAATGTATGGGCAGAAAATCCATGACTAGTAAATTTCTTTGAATTTTTCTGTTCTCATAGTATATACATATACGTAAGCTTAGGTAAGATGAACTGTTCCTTCAATACTTTCGTGAAGGGCAAAGAGAGGGGTCGGCAAAGAAATGAATTAGTACATTAAAAATCGAAATTTCGGTAGATAACTATCCTTAAAAAGGGCATCCAGAACGGAAAAGCAGTACAATGATATTCTAAAGTTACAGATACAAATGCAACAGATGCCTACACGGACCAAAACGGTTCAGATCTATATTCGTGTAACTGTACAAAAGTGTTAACCAATTGCACCACTTCGCCACCTGCTACAACAACACCATCAACGTCACCACTCTCAACAGTGACACCACTTACGACATCGTCAGGTACAACAACACCATCTGTCACTACAACGGCATCACCGGTGCCAACGTCACCCCCAAGTACACCAGTACCATCAACCACAACAGTACCATCTAGTGCAACTACACCAGCAGTAACAACGGCATCACCATGCTCAACGACGCCATCCGTCACAACGTCGCCACCAACTACAACGGTGCCACCTAGTGCAACTACGCCAGCAGTAACAACGGATACACCATGTCCAACAACACCACCGGTGTCAACGTCACCCCCCAGTACACCAGTATCATCAACCACAACGGTACCACCTAGTGTAACTACATCAGCAGTAACAACGGCATCACCATGCCCAACGTCACCACCAAGCACACCAGTACCATCAACCACAACGGTACCACCTAGTGCAACTACGCCAGCAGTAACAACGGAAACACCGTGTCCAACGACGCCACCGGTCACAATGTCACCATCAAGTACACCAGTGCCATCAACTACAACGGTACCACCTATTTCAACTACGCCAGCAGTAACAACGGAAACACCATGCCCAACGACGCCACCGGTCACAATGTCACCATCAAGTACACCAGTGCCATCAACTACAACGGTACCACCTATTTCAACTACGCCAGCAGTAACAACGGAAACACCATGCCCAACGACACCACCGGTGCCAACGTCACCGCCAAGTACACCAGTACCATCAACCACAACGGTACCACCTAGTGCAACTACCCCGGCCATCACAACGGCACCACCATGCCCAACGACACCCACCCACACAACAGCCGGAACAACTGCTTCTGAAACTACAATTTCGCCACCGCCGTCCACATGTGAGACCCCAACACCAGCCACTAACCAAACGGTGTGTATATGTGCCAACGCCTCCACAGTAGTTTTGTATCCTTCCTCAGAAAAGAAAGACGCTATTCCTGTAAAACTAAACGAATTTCTGGAATGTATATTTAAATATTTATTATAAAAATAGCAAATAGTTGAGGGAGGAAGGTGCTTATTTGGGTATGAAGTAGACCAGTTATTTATTTATTTATTTAACTTATTTAATCATTTATTTATGTGTTGTGTATTCATTTTTACAGTATGCCTCCGCTTAATACGTAGAAGTGTATAAAGCATCCAATCAAAATCAAGCAATTAGATCTCAAGTTTGATTTTCATAAAAATTAGCGCCGGCCCTACCGTCAGTAGTCATTATCACACGCAGAAGTTAGAGTCAAGGTTTCAAATGGCACTGCAACAAATTCGAAAGTATTTTTAATTGATGGAAACATTTACAGAAAATGTATGCATTTAGTAGTTGTTCAATAATATTGTATTTTGGGTGTCGTCATAAGCGGATTGTGTCGTTTTTTATTGTCATGCAATATGTGTCGTTTTTATACGTAAGTTACTTTTTTATAACTTATTTAAAAAAAAATGCTTGGTATTGCTTAAACGATGTTAGCGTTTGTGTTTCTGTGGTGATAGCTTGTTTTATTACTAGGCATTTTGAACTTTAATTGTTGTTTCCATTGAGTTAGATTTAGGTATATCAAGTCTGTTGTAGATGACTTAATAATTTTGTAAGTTTTAGATTTTTTAAAGCAAACTGGATGCCGCCAATGTGGCGATTACAGAAATTGAAGCTTATGGGTAAAGCTATAATGTGAATTTAAAATTTCATTGAAAGTTTTATAAGATATATATATATTCAACTACAACGGTACCACCT